ATATATATATGTATATATATATATATATATATATATATATATATATACATATATATATATATATATATATATATATATTATATATATATATATATATATATATATATATATATATATATATATATATATATATATATATACATATATATATATATATATATATATATATATATATATATATATATATATATATATATATATATAAAAGAGATTTTTAAAAACTAGCGGCTTTCAACATGCCTATGTATGCTTTTTCCTTGTGATTTTGTTATGGTCTTAAAATTATTTTAAAATTCGGACGGTAGATAAAACTTTACTTTTCGGAAATTTCGATTTTGATATAGTCTCAAAGTTATTTTTAATTCGGACCGTTACTTCTTTACAATATTTTGTCCTGCTTCGTACGTTTTTATATTACGGCTTAGGGATCGTCCATTAATTACGTAACGCAAAATTAAACTTATAGACAAAAGACAAAGCATTAAAAGTTTTCTCTCGCAGAATCATTAATTAAATCAAATACATAAACAACCTTTAGAGTCCAGCAAAAACCGCCGCGCAAAAGAGCAAAATGATCTCCTACTTATCTTTTAAAAATAAGTTTTGTGTTGCAAAATTTATGGACGATCCCTCATATCATTGTTATATAACCCAAAACAAAAAAAAATTTAACCACTCATTTGTCTTAAATCTATATGGTCTTATTACAGTATTTAATTAATGGTTTTACAATATTTATTATTATATTATTTTATATATCTGCTGATTTTCATATTATCTCTGCTATACAAGGACTTTTTATGTTATATTATCGTGCATTCATTACTCAGCTTTGTTTTAATTTTCACATGCATAATTTTCATCTTTTATTATTATTCTGAGAATTTCATAATATCCTTCACTACTTGTTTACATTCATGCGGATGACTTTTTTAATGGTTTTTGTGCAACGTTTTTTTTCGCTACCGTAGATTAATTATTGTTATGATTTTTGGTTGCGCAGCTTGCTAATTTTCTTACACTTTTGATTGCTTATCATATTTCGAATGAGGTATCAATGACAGCATTAGATTTTATTAAATACTTTTGTTGTTTGTTTGATTTAAAAAAATTTCTTAATTAGGTACACTAATTACACAGGTACTGCTTTCTTATTGTTTTGGGCTTATGCTAAAAGTAACTATTTGGTTTTATAGGTCTTAAAATAAATTTTTTAGTATTTTTGGGTTTCTAATAGAATTTTAATTTATTGAGTTTTCATGTTTTCTTTTGGTGGTATGGTAAGTATTTTATTTAGTTATTTTTATTTTTGTTTGTTCACTAGTTTTATTTTTGTTTGTTCACTTTTAATATAATATCATCAAAAAAAAATTGGTGCTTTACAAATTTGGGGTTGGTTGGGTTTTGGCTAATTGCAGTGAGTCCATTTTTACTGCAGTATGGAATAGGCGTAAGTCGCGGGGTAAAGCACAAGTGGCGATGACGTTTGTCTGGCGGGATAAACTAGTTATAAGTGCTGATCCTCATTCAATAATAAACGCGACTCTGAGGAGATGTTTATTACTTAATCACTACACTAATTTTGTTTTACACATTAGCATTAAGTTTTTTTTTTTTTTCTGTTCTTAGGCCTTCCGTTGTTTGGTGATATTTTTGTTGTATAAATTCATTCATATTAGTGTTTATATAACAATTTATTTTTTATTATTATTGTTAAGTACTGTTTTAGGTGTATTTATTGTCTTATTTATTTGTAAACCTTCCTATATTAATCTTAATTTTTGTCTTGACAACTGTCAAAATATGTTTGATTCAAAAAATAATTCTCCTTTATTCTAGTGTACTTGATTTCTTCCCTCACGCGTTCACTGCTCGTGTGTGACCATTCGGCGAATTTTATATACCAAAGTTTTTAAATAAATATTATTTTGACAATATTATTTTATGCAAAGTATACATTGTGGCATAGTCTTTATATTAGACATTTGTTTTTATTTTGATTTAAATTAGTTTCTAATTAATAATACAAAACATATTTTTTATCATAAAAAACATGTCGCAGTGAAAATGGTACAACAATATTTATTGCCATATCACTCAAAAATCGGAAGTAACTAACCTTTTGTTTCAGTATGACATCTGTCAAATTATTATTAATAATCTAAACTATTAATCTGTTTCTTAATTAATTTGTGTGTGCTTTAAAATACAAAAAACTAAAATGGGGAGACACACAACTCTCGAAGAAAGACAATTAATTCTATTTCATTTCCAAGATAAAAAAAGTCAACGAGAAATTGTAATAATTCTTAATAAAAGTGCGTCAACGAGAAATTGTAAAAATTCTTAATAAAAGTTGTTAATAAAAATTTTTAATAAGTCTACTGTGCAGCATATTATAGTTATCAAAATGAAAATAGAATAAAAAATAAAGTCCCAAAAGAAGTTTTGTAATAAGAGAGAAACGTTGGATTGCCCGAATTTCACGACATAATTCACGTTTAAGTGCACCTAGTAGCGTAACTTCAAACTATACCCCTTCCCCAGCCCCACCCTCTTCCGCAAGGCTTTCGAAAGAGCCCCCTATCTCACATACATTTCATGACAATCTGGTAAGCAATGATTTTATGATTTTAATTATCGACCCATTTTTGAGAAATGCATATCCGTACCGTGTGGGGGTTTTCGTGCGCGATCGACCGTTCTTTTTTTACCAAATTTTCTTTATTTCACGCAAGTTTTGTCATAAAAATTGAGAATGATACATATTAGATACATTTATACATATTATATTATTATACACAGTACAGATGAGTATTCCAAGACAAATCTTTGCGAAGATGATCTGCACTCTAAAAACAGTCCGTTAAAAAAAGTAACGGATTGCGCTTTTTCGTTAAATTAACGGATTAATTCGTTACCAAAAACCAGAAAATTAACGGAGTAAAATTAACTATTTACGGATTCTTTGAAATTTCGTTAATTCAACGGATTAAATATTCAAATCGGTCAAAAAAAAATTTTCAGTATATTATAGCTTTTTATTTTGAAAATGATAAAGTTTTGAATGCGTTTTTCTCACATTTACATTTACATCGTAGATAAAAGTTGGTTGCAGTACGTGTAATATGCTATTTTTTAAAAAGCTTTACAATTAGTAGACAAAGCAAATGGATTAATATAATTTAAATTACGCTCTGTTATTTGTAATTTCGAAGGTTATATAGATTATTTTAAATTTTCTATATAAAGCTTTATATAAAAAATTTAACAATAAGGTTTATTTTGTTTTAAATTAAAAGCGATTAGTATTACTAAATAATATATAATAACATATATGGTAAGTTAATACATGTCTAAATCTAGAAAATTATGCAAGAATATATGCAATCCATATAGTCTATATTATAGAAATAAAAGTTCAACTAATTCTTTACTTGTAGTAAAGGGTTAGTTGAACAATTATTTCTATAATATAGACTAAATGGATTATTTATAGTCTTTTTTAACTTTATATTTTAGACATATGACATGTAGTAACATACCATATTAGTTTAAATCAGTTGTAAAATTAAAAATGTTAACATCTTTGATAGGTAGGGGAACCTGTTGTACCTTTGACCACGTTGTACCTTTGGTCACTCTACTCTGTCGGCTTACTATTATTATTTTCAAAAAACGTGAAGTGCCATTTGAAACAATAGTCCATGACAACTCTTCTTACCGTAAAACATCATACTTGGGATAGATGGTATTGATCCACAAGTAATTATAAGTTTTGGCTCTTAAAAAGTGAATATTTGTGTTAACCTTTTTCTGATTTTAAAAATGTGATAAATTGTTGTTTGATTCATCTACGACATAGTAAATATTTCCCAACATCATTTTTTTGTTATGGAAAAGTTTGGATGGTTATGTCTGACAGTAAATGGGGATTAAGACGATAATTGTTAAAGAAACCCATCTCGTGTACCTTTGACCAGAGTAGAACGTTGTACTTTTGACCGACAAAAACTGTTTCCTTGTTAATTTGCGGACTTTAAGAGCGCAAATTTATAAAATTTATATCTACTTTATTAGGCGTCTGTACTCTATTGCTTTTTAATGCAAAATTTTTTCTAGTATAATGGTAATGAAATAATTCCATTGAATTTTAATGCAATTAACTATTTATTCTTGGACAACTACTACATTTAGAATAATCAATTTTGTTAATTTAGTTAGTTGGATTAGGTAATAAAATGAACTTGATAATAACATTGCTGAAGCAATGTTATTATCAAGTTCATTTTATTACCTAATTTCTGCACAGCTATAGGGAATTAAATGTATAAAAATAGTTAATTCTGTTAATTTATTTTAGTCTTAAAATGCCAAGGAGCAAGATTGGTGTTTTTCGCCGAAAGATTTCCGAAACGGATATGCTTAATGCAGTTAATTTTGTGCTTCAACAAAAAATGAGTTTAAGTAAAGCTGCAAGACATTGCAACATTAAAAAATCATCTTTAATATACCAGTTAAAGCAATTTAAAAAATCTGGTAGTTGCGAATATTTATATTCGCATACCAAACCAAAAAAAAAATTCTCAACAAAAGAAGAATTAATATTGGTAAACTACTTGGTAGATGCTGCAAATATGCATTATGGACTAACATTAAAGCAGATAAGGTTCTTTGCATATGAGTATGCTTTAGAAAATCATAAAAAAGTTGAAACTTCATGGATAAAAAATAAATGTGCAGGTGAACAATGGCTACGAGATTTTTGCAAAAGATATAATAACAAGCTATCTCTACGTATACCACAACCTACAAGTCTTGGTAGAACTTCTGCATTCAATAGAGAAACCGTAAAAATTGTATATAATAATTACAAAAATGTTTTAGAACGTTATCATTTTGATCCATCAAATATTTGGAACTGTGATGAAACAGGAATTACCACAGTTCACGTACCACCAAAAATTCTAGCTCCAAAAGGCAAAAAATAAACAGGGAGCATGACTAGTGCTGAACGAGGCAATAATGTAACAATGATTACAGTCATTAATGCTACTGGAAATAGTACCCAACCATTACTTGTATTTCCACGTGCTAAATTTAAAGATCACATGTTAAATAATTGTCCTCCTGGAAGTTTAGGAGCAGCAATTAAGTCCGGATGGTCAAATGATGTCATTTTTCTGCAATTTCTTGAACATTTTATTAATAATGTGCGACCATCAATTGAAAAACCTGTTCTTTTATTAATGGATAATCATGAGAGTCACTTAAACATTTCTGTTATTGAGTTAGCAAAAAAATCAGGCATAGTTTTAATGACATTTCATCCTCACACAACCCATAAAATGCAACCTCTTGATCGTGGTGTTTTTAGACCATTTAAAACTTTTTATAAGAATGCCATGAATAACTGGATGATATCACCAGGTAATGCTGGTAAATCAGTTACAATTTATGATATATCTTACCTTGTTGGTCAAGCTTATCCTCATGCTTTTGTACCAAATAATATTATAAACAGTTTTAAATGTACTGGATTTTATCCATTTAATGAAAATATTTTTACTGATATTGACTTTTTAGCTGCAAATGTTACTGATAGGCCAATAGTGAATACTGAAGCTTGCATTTCTAATGAAAGTATTAATGTTAAAACTGCTCAATCCAGTTTACCATCAACATCATCTATTGTTTTAGGGTAAATCCCTATTGTGAGTTTACCATCAAAATCATTTATTGTTTCACCTGAGATAATACGACCTCATCCTAAAGTCAAATTAAAAAAAACAAATCCTTCAAAAAGACGTAAGGGAAAATCACGTATTTTAACTGATACACCTGAAATTAAAGTTAATTTAGATGCAAAATCTAATAACCAACAATTTAAAAAGTCTTCTTCAAGCAAAAGAAAAAAAATGGCAAAACAGATTATTTTTAGTCAGTCTGACATGTGGTTAAATAATGAAAGCTCTGATGAAATTGATTTTGGAGTAAATATACTTGATGATGAAAGTGAAATTGTTTCTGTTTTTTTTTTTTTAATTGTCAAGTTGGTCGGAAAGAAATACTCTAGACTTTATGTAGCAGAAGTTATAGAAGTTGTTGGTATAGTTTACAAAATTTAGTATCTTAAGAAATCAGGAGACTTTTGTAACAAATTTATAAGAGAAGATGAAAATCTTTATGAAGTGGAACTTGAAGATATTATTATGAAACTTCCACCACCAAGTATTGGTGGTGGTTCATCTAAATGTCAGTATCTTATGTTTGATGTTGATCTGACTATTTGTAATAATTAATAGATTATACTCTTTTATTATTGATTTTTTGTTGTTGTCATCATCAAAATATTTCATTTAAAAAGCATTATGATCATATGTAAATGGATATAGACCGCCAGCTGATATAAGTTATAAAAATCTATTTTTGCTCTTTTCTTATCTTAAATAATAAAAATAACTATAGATATTAGAAAACATATTTTGTACAACTAAATCGCGCTTAAAGTTTTGGACCTTAACCCTAAATATTTCATGTAAGTAGCATCTAACTAAAAAATATGTGACATTATCTAAATAGTTATAACTGATTTTATTTTAAAAAATTAGTAACACTATTAGTAATACTGACTGAGTATCGTAACTTCGATAAACGAGTCTTGGCAATATTGTAAGTATTTTTTTAGACAATTAGGATTGGTTACAAAATAATAAGATTTGTTTTTTTATTGACAAAGGTAGGCCAGAAGTTGCTACAAAACATATAACAAGCTAAAATATTAAAGAGGTTCAAACATTGCATGATTTTTTAATAATAACAGTTTGGTCAAAGGTACAACGCGCATCGGTCAAAGGTACAACATATGTGTTGTACCTTTGACCAAAAGACTTCTTTTTTTAAAACGCGGGAAAAAGGCCTCAGCATAATTTTTTGGCAAAATATGAAAGAATATTATATAGTTTAAATGGTTTAAGTTTACTCAATAGACTACGCAAAAAACGCCTTAAAGCAAAAAGTGGTCAAAGGTACAACAGGTTCCCCTATATTTATTTAGGTTAGTTAACTTTACATAGGTTAGCTAACTTTACATTGGCTAGTTAATATGCTTTTATAAATTGCAATTTTTATTAATTTCCAAATTAAACATGTAGCATTTAATATCAAAAACTAAGTTTATACCGGTGTGTTTATATTATTTTAGAATTTTTTGTTTTAGACAAATGGCATTTGCTATCTCACTGTAAGTTAAAACTAGTTGTAAAATTAAAAATTTTATATTAGAACTTCTATTTCTTTTAACATTCATGTTTATTTAATTGAGTTACAACCAAGGTTATATATGAGTTATTTATACTATCTTAGAATTTGCTGCTTTAGAGGCACGGCATTTAGTGTCACATTGTAGGTTTAAATTGGTTGTATAATTTATATTGTAACTTGCATATTTATTTAGTTGAGATTAATCTAAGTTTATATTTGATGTGTTTGTATTATTTTAGAATTTACTGTTTTAGACACGCGGCATGTGGTATCCCACTGTAAATTTGAATTATTAAATTTAAAAAAATTATATATTTAACTTGCATTTCTTTTGACTTTCATGTTTATATAATTAGATTACAACTAAGTTTGTGTATGGCTTGTTTATATTATTTCAGAATTCGCTATTTTAGACACTTGGTATAAGCTGTCATACTGTAAGTTTAAATTGGTTGTAAACTTGCATTTCTATTGGCGTGCATATTTATTTAGTTGAGTTTCAACTATTAATAATAATAGTAATAATAATTTTATATCTGGCGTGTTTATATTATTTTAGAATTTGCTGTTTTAGACACGTGGCTTGTGATATCCCACTGTAGTAAATTTTAAAAAATTGTATTTTAACTTGCATTTCTTTTGGCATGCATATTTATTTAGTTTAGTTAAAACTAAGTTTATATCGCACTTTTTTAACTATTATTCTACTATATTCTATATTCACTATTATTTTAGAATTAGCTATTTTAAACATGTGACAAGTGGTATGACACTGTAAGTTTAAATAAGTTGTAAAACTTATTTTTTTATATAGTTGCTTGCGTTTTTTTTGGTCTGCATATTTAATCTTGTTTTGATTTATCATAGTTTTTAAAAGGTTAGAGACCTTATTTTTTGCTCCTGATAGGTATTGATGTATGTGAAATGTATAGAGTCTTTCAGTAATCAGATAATGTCAAGGTAATCTTATACTTTTTTTTTAATTTACATTTTAATAAAGATATAATTAACTTGTTCCATTTAACTTTATCTTTAGAAAACGATATCAGAGATAATTAAAATAACAAAATTTAGAATAGAAATATATATATAATGAATTACCAAAAACATTTTCTATAGTGTTATCAGTAACATTTTATTTTGGTTTTATACCAGGTATGTTAATAAGTTTCCATATTTTCTTTATTTTATTTTATATTATTCTTTAAGGAGTTGACAGCATGGTGTCCGATTTGAAGTGCGAACCTGTGTACGAGTAAAAACAGTATTCAAAACCAAAACCTATTTAAACCTACCAAACCAAAACTAGCAACCAAAAACTAATATCTTGGCATTGGTTTATTTTAAACATCTATTATATATATGTGTGTGTTTTATATAAATGTACTAGCTTGAGTATAGTGTATTAAAAATACTTTTTTTAACTATTTTTATTGTAATTTAAAGTATATTGGATTAAATATTATAAATATTTGATTAGTTTTCAATTTTTGGTTAAAACGTTTTAATGTAGAATATCGAAATAAAATAATGCAATTAAATAAAAATGCAAACATTAACAAATATAAGGATTATTTGGTTATGACAACTCTGGCCTCTCTAATTTTAGATTTTAGTGATTTTAACGAAATAATTACTAAAATAACTTATTAACACATTTATTTCATAGGAATAACAACCGCGGAAAAATTTGCTGCCTAGTGTAATAACTCCTTAATTTTTACGGATTATTCGTTGCACTAACGAAATAAATCCGTAAATTCAACGGACTATTCCTAACGGAGTTCAATTCGTTAAAACTTTAATTCGTTAACTTAACGGATTTCTCGTTAGTGCAATAGCGACAGATACAATTCGTTGTATATAACAGATTTTTTTATAGAGTGTGGTTAACATCCATAACTTATGCCCGGGAGGCTTCAATGCTCAACAAGGCTAAACTGTTAAGGCGTTCTTGACCCATCGAATTACGAAGATAATTTTTGACATTTGAAAAGATATCAACTAAAGTGGAAACTCTGGTGAAAAATTGTCGGTGATAAAAGTACCGAAATGATGAAAAAAGTACCGAAAAACTGCTTACAATATCATGCATTCCTTGGAATCTATTTTTCAATTGTGTGTTCATAATATCTAACACACGGTAAAAAATAGTAACTCAAAATTTGTCTTCTGGGTCAGTCAATGCTGTCACTTCAGTCAAGCTGTTGAATTCTTGTGAACATCTTTTACGTATAATTTGTGCCTTGAATATTTTCAAACTTAATATCCATCTTGTTCTACAGATCATGTATAAAACAAAATATGGACTGTCTAAAAACTAATTTTAAAGAAGTACAACATAAATATGTTACAAGATTATCCGCAAACTACACTGCTATACCAAAATCTAATTCTAAACAGAACTCTTATTCAATCCAGAACCTTCGAATTTTTATCACATTCGAAAGTTTAACAAAAATGTGAAAATTAAATGCAATGATTGGCTAAAAAAATTTTTAAAAACTTTGAAATTTAAATAAAATAAAAAAGGTAGGAATCGTCCATAAATTAAACTTTATTAAAATATATAAAATTAAATAAACAAACCTTGAAAATGGGCCCTTTTTTGCCGTTTTCCCTCCCGCAGTTGAGGGCCTTGCGGGCCCATAGTTTCGTCACTGAGTGCACCAAAGCTTGCCATTGAGGTAAAAAAACAATTTGGAAAAACTGTGAATCCAGAAACAACCCGTAGAGTTTTAGGAAAAAACGACTTACATGGTAGAATGACAAGGAGGAATCCATTTGTAAGCAAGGAAAATAAAAAAAATCGTCTCAAGTTTGCCAATGATAACAAAAACATAGATTTTTACTTTTATATATATATATATATATATATATATATATATATATATATATATATATATATATATATATATATATATATATATATATATATATATATATATATATATATATATATCAAAGATAAAAACATAAAATGTCTAATCATTTTATTTTTTTAAACATTTCATATACAATTTAAGATCAAATATTCGACCTGTATTAATTATTACAATAATATTACTATATATTTTATTTGCAATTTATAAAAATTATTCATAGAAACTAGTAAAAAAATAATAAATTATTTAAAAATACAATGTTTGCGATTGCGTACAAATGAGGATGAGAGTATAATAACGTCATAAAAAAAATCATAAATTTGCAGACCATTTTTAAAATGTTTTTGTAATCGTAGCTTAATTACATAGAATTTTATGAGCACACATGTGCGATTATTATAATTTATGTCATCTATATATTATTTAATCTAATTTTTGACGAAAACTTTCATATTTTTGCACCTAGCAATGTGTACAAACAGTAGATTTCACAATTCTTGATAAAGTTCATCTTCCTGATCATTGTCTTAAAAAAATAAAATATTTTTAAGATAGAAGTTAAAAAACTTTGAATGAAAAAAAAAATCATTACAACATACTATTGCTGATTGCTTTTTGAGCATCTAAACGCATCAGTTCTTCCCTTTGTGTGTTTCTCAAACCTTAAAGAGTGTAAATTAATTAAATGATACATAGTAAAATGAACGCACTCAAACAAGTAAACGAAGGTTTAAATAATACACGGGTTGCTTTGTTTACATTCTGAAGCGCATACACTGAAAACAACAAGTAAAACAAAGCAAACTTGAAGATTAGGGTCAGAGGGTTAATTTTAATAATTTTACAATTCTGCACCTAAACATTCTCTACTATGAACTATTGCTTCTATGAATTTCACCTAAACATTCTACACTATGAACTATTACTTCTATGAATTTCACCTAAACATTCTCCACTATGAACTATTGTTTCTATGAATTTCACCTACACATTTTACACTTTGAACTATTGCTTCTATGAATTTTATCTAAACATTCTCCACTATGAACGATTGCTTGTATGAATTTCACCTAAACATTCTCCACTACGAACGATTCCTTATCAAATAACAATACGGTCAAAATTTATAAATGGATCTATAATAATTGCAATTACAATAATATTCCATTTTCAATTATTCATTATTTTTCATCACTGTCACCCATATCAACTTAGAGAAAGATTTGAAACAGGTTTTCAGTATGAAAAAAAAATAGAGTTATTTTTGACAAAACAACCACGAAGAAGCAAGATTTAGTCGAAAAATCTCTGCATACTTCTTTGAATTTTAGCAACCCCTAAAAATATTTTTTATTCGAAAAATTTTGAATCCAGTGCTATTTTATATAGAACACATTTAGGGGGTGCCAAAAATATCTGATTTTTCAAAATTGATTTATTGAATCATCTGACTGATGACTGTACTGTTATACATTATTATAACTGATGATGACGACGTTAGTTAAAGCAGTTTTTGATATAAAAAAAATGGAAAGGTGAACCAGAATGTTATCTGCTAAAACATAATATAGCAGAAGTCAAATCAAACAGCTTGATATAGAAACTGTATCTCAAAATGTTAAAGTTTGCCACACTCTCATTCATGATTTGGTGGATGTATACAATTAAGATAAGTTAAAGTTACACAGAATCAGGTTTTACACAAATTCAAGAAAATTTTAAAAATTGTTTTGATTCAAACTCAACAAGTGAAGCAAAGAAGAAAGCTTTTTTAAAATTGTTTTTATTCAAACTTAATAAGTAAAGCAAAGAAGATAACTTTGTATAATACTAAAAAAAAAATCATAAAATCTAGTATTGTTTTATACTTACTAAAATGTACTGATTTCAAATTTGAAGTCTTTTTATCTAAATAATGCCCCAATTTTTTGAAAAATTGTAATTTGTTTTGAATTTTAGAGATTTTTTTTTTAATTCTTAAAACATTTTCTCTACTATAATACATTTGATAGTATTTAATTAACTATAAAAAAAAATTACATAAGTTTTGATGAGCACTAGAAGAACTACAGTTTTGATGAACACTAGAAGAATGTTTAAAATTTGTAAGTTTTATTTTTGACTGTGCATAAGTTCTAAATTTTTTGTTTTGGAACCAGTTGTTTGAAAGATATTCCATTTTTATCTTATTGTTTTACTTGTACTTTTACTAATACCACCCACAGCATTAAATTCTTTAATAGTGTCTTCTATTGCTAAATTTAATTCTTTTTGGATAAATAATTGTACTTTGTTATTATATTCAGCTTCAGCATTAGCAAAATCATTGATGTTCTTTTCACTGTTTATTTCTAAGCTTTCTTTTCACTGTCCATTTCTAAACATAGTAAAATCTATTAAGTATTGTCTCCACAGTCTTATAAACTTCATTATTTTGGAGCAGATTAATAACAAGAAAAAGCAAGAGCATCTTATTTTTTTGTTGTTGTAAATCTGCTCCAAAGAATATCCTCTTCAGTGTTTGGATATTGTAAAAATTCATACATAGATATAATATTACTATCTCATCTGATATTGATTTCTACTTTTAATTGCTGCAAAACGTCTTGATTTTTTCTTCACCATGTTCTGTATACTTAATGATTTTTAGGAGGAAACCTTCTTCAAATCAAATGAACTAGAGAAATACATGAAAGAAATTGATTCTTTATAAGAACAAATAAAACAGTCTCAAGTTTTAAAACTTGACCAGGCCCCACCATTGAAAAGAAAAGAATCTGATACCAAAAGTGAATTAGTTTTTTTAGATTTTTCTAGATCTTTTCTTGATAGACAAGAAGGCTAGATGAGTTTTTGATTTCAAAAGTTCATTTGGTATAAAGATTATGTAAAAATGTATTACTTGTTAATTTTTTATATTCTATAGGGAATAAATTCACAATAGCTTGAACTGATATTATATTGATATGATAAAAAATTTCTTTTTTACATCATTTTTTATAAAAAAAAATTTTAACTTTTTACAATTTTCTTTATATCTTCAATTTTTTCTGAAATTGAAGCAGGGATTTTTCTTAAATTGAATCCCAAAACGAATTTGAAAGTCACAAAAAAATTACTTCTTTCTAGTTTTTGGTATCCAAGAGCATTGAAAATATAAAAAAGCTTATAGACTACTAATGGGGAGTCCTTTTGGGACTCTGCATCCCTGAATTGAAGTATTTAATTGCAGCTCTTCCTGTTCCCATACTTCATTTTCCAAATCAGATTCATATTATAAAAAATCATCTTTATCTTCAACAACTTCATCTACTTCATCAGTATTAAACACTGGGATTATTGCATTGACGGTTAGCAGAAAAGAGAATTTATTTATCGCATCAAAATTTTATTTGATACGATAAAAAGCAATAATAAATCACATTAAATCGCACTCAATTTTTCAATAAAACTTAACTCGCAATATATTGTATAGTCATTTATTAAAAAACACAGCATTGCGATTACATAACCAAATATCAAATTACTAACAAGCACCCCCTATTTCTCATCTAGTTATTGAAATTTACTGCATTACCAAAATTAATCAAAATTAAGTAACGCCAGGGCTTAATTTTAAGTGCTGTTTTTCCCTAAATTTTTCCCTCTTTATCTAAGCACAGATCAAAGATTTTTATTTTTTTTTCTAATACTTCTAGCTTCTTTTCTGCTATACAACTACCTTCAATATATATTAGACCCAGATAATACAAATCTTTAGAACTTTTATATAAATGAACATCAATAAATCCTTTATTTTTAAGACTGGTCCATTTATCAATAAACACATTTAACTTTTTCTTTTCCTCTTTTAAATTCTTAATATTTTTTACTAGTTCCTCTTTCTTAATATAATAAAAGTCCATCATTAATTGTCGCAATTCACTGGGATTTTGTGGTTTTGTGCTTGAATCTATTTGCAGCTATGTTGTCAGCATACTAGTTGTATAAACTCGATTTTAGCTACCTGGTTAAAAAGAGAATCTATCAACATCTGCTATTTTAGATATTACTTCCTCCAGAGTTGGTGTTTTACGAATGTTAAAATTGTTTGACTATTAGTACTACTCAAATGTCAATTCCAAGATATAAAAATATAAAACTCATTAAAAGTAAATCACAAATTTTCAAAAACGTGGTGGGTGATGAATATAAACTGACTTCAGATCAGCACACTAAAATTAGTTTAAAAAAGATTTTATGGATCTTTTTTAAACTTTTAATTTATTGTACAGCATAAATTAAGTCTTAAGACTTGCTTACAAGCGTAATTAAAGACTTGAAACTGTCCTATGACATATTAGTCTTAAGACTTGCTTACAAGCGTAATTCAAGACTTGAAACTGTCCTATGACATATTAGTCTTAAGACTTGCTTACAAGCGTAATTCAAGACTTGAAACTGTCCTATGACATATTAGTCTTAAGACTTGCTTGAAACTGTCTTGAAACATTTTGAATGCAAAATTGTATTATGTTTTTAATATATAACATGCTTTGAATTTTTAGTTTAAGCAAAACACGTTTTGCCCATTTTTCAATGAAAAAAAAAAGATGTAAGCTTGGTTTATCTTGGAAAGCTTAACAATTTTAATTACCAAAATCAGTTTTATCTTTTAACTTTTATTTAATTCATAAACACATACCTAACTTGTTATATCCCTAAATTTTATTTTTCTCAGATTTAGGTGACATATTATGTTTTGATTATGATTTGACCTGCACAAATGTACAAGTCTTCTCTAAATTTTTACTAAACAACTGAAATTTGAAATTTTATAAAACAAGTTTTTTTCAATTAGTATTTTATTATTTTTAAAACATTACTGATTTAGATTTTTGAATTTCATTTAGAAGATTGCAGATAGAAAGTCTTCACATTATTCAATATGACTGCCGGTTATCATTAAAAAACAGGGCAAACAAAAACATTTAAATCAAAGAAATGGTCTAACTTAAACATTGGAATGCAGCAACTGCAAAGGTGTTGACATTAAAAACTCATAAGATAAAACCAACAAAATTTCTAATGACAACACTCACCAAGATGGAAACATCTTCAATATAATTTCAAGCTTTCAAAATTTCAAGAATACTTACCAAAATATCAACAAACAAAAAAATTTGTTAGAAATTTGTTATTTTAATTGTTATGAACACCAAACAGTATAAACCAATAAACATATTCCATAAAATTGAGCATAAAAAAACATTTTACATTTATCTTTAACAATAACAAAATAAAATGAAACTTTTTTTTGTCAATGAAAAAATGTGTAGCTAATCAAATAGATTTTAACTAGGAATGGATACCATGGATATCATGGATTCCATGGATACTATGGATTCCATGGATACCATGGATATCATGGATACCATGGATGTCATGGATACCATGGAGATCATGGATACCGTGGATATCATGGATACCATGGCTATCAAGGATATCATGGATACCTTGGATATCATGATACCATGGTTATCATGGATACCATGGATATCACAGATACCTTGGATATCATGGATACCATGGATATCATGGATATCATGGATACTATAGATATCATGGATGGAGCGGATATCATGGATGTTCTCTTTAAACTGTTATACATTCAATAATTAATTAAGATTTTAATTTAAAGTTTATTGTTAGTGTTATCAATTTATTGCCTTCAACTAAATGTTTTGTATAAAATAATGGAAATCATTTTGAAGTGAATGTTTGGAAGGTGTTTTTCATTAGTATACCTATAACTGAAGAATATACAGATACATAAATATAATATACGCAGCAAGAATAAAACATTTTATATAAAGGTGAACTTGTATAAAAATATTGCCCCTTATCATACAACACCGCTTAAGTCGAAAATTTAAATAATATTTTTTGTTCATGAAAATAGTTTTTTTAAAAAAAATTAGTTATTGCTCTGAAGATATAACATAATAATAATAATTGGTTATTTGTATGATATAAAGAATACTATTAAAGTAGTTATGGTAACTAGATTAGTACTATAACAATAGTATTTGATCCTAACTACACTAGACTACTAACTACATTAAGACTAGAAAAAGCTAATTGGAAAATTTTAATAAGATCTTATGAATTTAATAAATCTAATGATGCAAATTAGATTTTAATTATTTAAAAAAAGCTATGTTGTTACTATTTTTAAAAACCAACTGTTCTGTTCTAGAAATAAGCAAAATTAAAAATTTGTTTCATCATTTTTATTGCTTGATCTTTAGAATGTAAATAAAGTTTAATTTCTATAAGTAAACCCATGAAAAAAAACCTCTATACATGAAAAATTCCCCTATAAAAAGTTTGTACCTTCAAACTGAATTTGAGGTCTTGGTCTTATTGGAATTGGGGGTGCAGCTTCTACTACCACTTCATAAACCTCAGGACCTTCGATTTCATCTTCAGTTGGAATTAAACTATAAATATGTAAATATATTTAAAACAAACATTAAAATAATAAAAAATATCTTTATAATTAAAAGAGAAAAAAAAATAGAGCCAGTAAAAACCATTTAGCAGTCCATAAAAATTTTTATGAGACTTTTAATAACATATAAATTTAAAAAACACATGTATATGAATAATTTGACACATTAGTTTCATTTTTGTTTTAATAAGGCACCTTTAGTCTTAGCCATATATAGAACGCACAATTTATATGTAGGTATTTCTAAGGGAATGGTCAGTCTTACCTTTATATAAATCTTGTGAGTAAGAGGAGCTTATAAATCATTGAAAATTCTTTTAAGTCTACAATAAAAATACTCAGTCCTAATCTTCTAGTAAGTCTACAATAAAAATACTCAGTCCTAATCTGCACAACAAGTTAATGCATTAAGTTGTAAAAAATTGCTTAAGAACTCTTCTCGTATATAAAATATATAATAGCATTATAAAAACCTGCTCAATCGGCCAAAGTGTGGAACCACAAACATCAAACAAATAAAAAAATTTAAAAAGCCTAAGCTTCAAGGTCAATTTTCCAACTCGCTTTCCAGATAATCGAAATCATTAACCTTCTCTACTTGACTTATATCTTGTTTCTAATCCGAGTCAGTGCTCAATTTCTCCACTTTCACCTTTAGGTGCTTCTGATCACAGATTGATCTCTCTAAAACTATAATCTAATTCTCTTCATAATCTAAATCCCCCTATCAACGTACCTCTTACAACTACCTTAAAGCTAACTGGGACTCTTTCCGTGATTTTCTTTGTGATGGCCCTTGGGTAGAAATCTATTGTCTTCCTGTTGACAAATGTACTTCTTACATAACTTCATGGATTCAGACTGGCATGAAATCTTTTTTTCCTTCTAAACAATTTAAGGTCAAGCCTCACTCTTCTCCATGGTTTTCTTCACATTATGCTGCCGCAATTACCAATTAAAACCGTTACTTCCATATCTATCAGCAAAATAATTCTCCAGAAAACAGACGTCTGTTTATTACTGCTAGAAACCAATAAAAAAAGGTTTTATCTAACACCAAAGCCCATTATTCTCAGGTTGTGAAATCTTGTATTTCATCACAAATTATTAGGCTCTCGTGACTTATGGAGAATTTTTAATAGTATCAATAATATAGGCAAATCTGTAATTTCACATCTCTTTTATGGTTCAGACTTGCCACCTCACCTAAAGACAAAACTGAATTGTTTGCTAAGAACTTTTCATCAATATCATCTCTTGATTCCACTAGTTGCATTCTACTTGATATAGCCATCAAACAGGTTGATCAATTGCTTATTCGTATCACTCCAGCTTCTGTATCTAAAGTGATTTCCTGCTTAGCCTCTTCTACAGCTTTGTGGCCCCAACAACATACCTGTTAAATTCTTGCAGAAGTGTTCTCTGAAGCTGCCGTCTATGCTTTCAAAACTATTTAACAAGTGCTTATCAGAGTCTTCTTTGCCAGCCTGTTGAAAAGCAGCATCTGTTTTCCTTATTTTAAAAAATCCTGGAGAGATCTGATTCGTCTAACTACCGTCCCATTAGTCTTCTTCCTATCAAGCAAAGGTTTTTGAATCTTTAACTAACAAACACTTTATCTCTCATCTTTAATATAATAAATTACTCTCTGATCATCAATATGGATTTTGATCTTCTGGTTCTATGGCTGATTTGCTAACAGTAATAACATTAGATAAAGGTGGAGTGGTTAAGGCCATTGCTCTTGACATTTATAAAGCCTTTGATAAAGTTTGGCATGCTGGTCATCTCCATAAGCTTTCTTCTTATGGTGCATCTGGTAACATCTAAAAGATTATTGAATCCTTTTTATCCAATCATAGTATAAAAGTTGTCCTTAATGGACAGCACTTATCTTCTTATTTTGTAACCTCAGGGGTTCATTAAGGTTTAATCCTTGCCCCTATACTCTTTTTAATTTACATTAACAATCTTCCAGATATTTTCACATCTAAGGTGACATTGTTTCCTGATGATACTACCATTTATTCTTGTCATGATAAGAAGCCAACAATCTCTGATTGCTTGGAGGGGGCATTTGAGCTTAAAAAGAGCTTGAAAAATTGCTGCAGCATGGGGCTCACAATGGCTGATGAACTTTAATTCAGATAAAACTCAATTTTTTTCAGCTAATCGTTATCGCAATAATTTAGACCTTCCTATATTTATGAATGGTAATGTACTCAATGAGTCATCCACCCTTCATCTTCTAGGATTAACTCTTACTTCCGAGCTTTCTTTGAAACCATATATCAAACCTGTTGCAAAATTAGCATCTGCTAAGGTTGCATCTCTTTATCGAGCTTGACACTTTCTTACTTTAAATTCTATTCTCTATCTCTATAAATCTCAAATCCGGCCTATATGGAATACTGTTGCAATATCTGGGACGGATCTGCCCCAGACATGGCAAATTTAGATGTCGTATCTGATACCCTTTTTTTTTTTGACAAGGTGCAAAAATGCATTGTAAACATAGTTGGACCTGCTTATGCAGTCAAACATTAGTCCTGCAAACATTATCACAACATCCTTATGTCGCTCCTCTTTCTCTTTTCTACAAATACTATGATGGGCACTGGTCTAAAGAGCTATCGTCTCTTGTGCCATTTACTCAAATTCAATCTCGTTTTACTCGTCATTCAATTAAGTCTCATCCTTTTTCTGTGAATGTTCCTAAGTGCTCTAAAAACTCTTATTCCTCTAGTTTTTTTCCTCGAACAACAGTTCTTTAGAATACGATTCCTTTATATTGTTTTCCTAATTCACATAAGTTTCAATCTTTTAAGTTGTCTGTCAATCATTATCTTGTTCTAAAAACTTCATCTTTTTTCTTCCAGTAACTTTTAACTCTAATTAGTGGTAGTTTGCAGCCTTGTTGGAAGCGAAGATGTTAATAATAAAAAAATGTTATAAATATTATTTCAAGTTTTTTGTTGATTTATTAAAGCATAAAATATGAAATTTACAACAATAAATTATAAATTTAGATAAATAAGGTTAGGTGTCACTCATATAGTTAAACACTAGTCAATGGACACTAAAAAACAAAAACAAATTGACAAAACACAGAGAGCATAAAAAAATAAAAGAGAAAAAGTAAAATAAAATAAACGACTAATATATAATGATAATAGTATTAATAGCAACATAATAACAAAAACATTAATACACAAAAAATATTTAAATGATTAAAAATATACACATATAAACATTCAGGAAACCTAAATTTTGATAAAAGAACTTTTGTTATAATTCTTCTTTAAGATAATCATAACAGCTTTAATATTGCTTTAAGAACAGCTTTAATATTGCTTTAAGAACAGCTTTAATATTGCTTAAAGTCCCAGTTTCTAATTGTTAAAACAAAGGAAATCAAAAAATGGCAAAAAAATTTCAGTAATGCTATTAAGTGCATGGGAAGCAAAATACTTTTAATGCAATCCAATCTGGCGCCATAGAAACACTTAGAATTATAAAGAAAGTTGTATATTCAAAAATACATTATTTTTTTAAGAATTCTGCAGATATTTGATAATAATGATTTTGGTCTTATTGCAGTCAAGTTATAGATTGAGTCTTTTATCAATTGGTTTTACAGATGCTGTTTTTTAAAATATTAGGGAATATACCAGTAAAGAATGAGAGATTAAATACTTTAGAAAAATACCATTAACTAGAAGTTTAAGAACAAAGGTTGAAATGCTATTTGGACCAGAAGCCATCATTTAAATAAAGAATAAGAGATTCTATTTCATTTTTATCAGTAGGTTTAATGAATATTTTGGCAAAGTTTGGTTACTATTTGAATAAATTAAGTGATTATTGCAAATATCAATTGTGAAATTAGTGCTACATAGCAACTTTTTAGTTTCATTTAGAACAGCCGAACAACTTTACAAAAAGCCATTTTATCAGTCAATATGATAGTTGGTGACCTCCCTCAGCCAAGTTGTTATATTGATAAGGGAGGCTATAATGTTCATAAAAGTCCAACATTTTTAATTTATTACAATAAAAAAGTAAAATTCCAAGACTAAATATAAACATAATTAAATAAATGTCAAAAAATTTTAATAAACAAATTGTAAAACCTTTGACAGCGTGGCCTCTCCATGCTTTTTTCAGACTAAATAAAAATTAACAATAATTCTACACAAAAACAACTTATCAAAATTGTATCAAAAAAAATTTAATTAAACAAGATTTAAAATAAATTATATAAATAATTAACATAAATTAAATAAAAAATTAGTTCAAAAATTACTATTTTTAAAACTAATTTTTAATTCATTATTAACTTTATTAATATTCACTTTAATTAACAATTAATACAAAATATTTTGAGAAATTTCAGAGAAATTACATTAACATAAATTAACATAATATAACATATTAATAACATATATAATATATTAAAAAATTATTAAAGTTAATAATCGAACTGTCTTACTAAATATAATATTTTTAAAAATTGCTTTTTTTAAAAGAATTCAATTACAAAAAGTTCATTTATGAAAATATCATTTAAACCAATAAACATAGTAAAAGTGTTTATTGGTTGCATTGGTAGAATTTAATTTTAAAATTTATTGTATTATTTGTATGAACTTTTGTAAATTAAGTAATTTATGAACTTAACAAGTAATTTATTTTGCTTATTAAAAAAGTATTTATTGAACATAATTATTTATTTTTTTAAGTAATTAATGAACAACTATTTAGTATGTATTTAGTTGTTTGTTTTATTTTTAATTTAATAATCTATACAGAGTCTGTTAAGATAATAAACTGTTGAAAGTCTGTTTAGATTCAACAAGTTGAAAACTCGTGAAATGATTCAGTATAGTACAGTTTAATGCAATGCAAATTTCTTTGTCATTGTTTCAACAGTATTTTCTTCATCATTTTATTTTCCTCAACTTTCTCATTAATAGCTTAAAAAACTTTTTTCTTTTGTCATTATATATTTTTCTACCAATATAATAAAAAAAAATGATTGCTGAATTAGTCTAAACCCTCAGTCCTTGTAGCAACACTCTCTTGCATTTTTTACCTAGATAGTCAGTCAAAGTATGTAATGAAGCTCTCGCAGTTACTAAATTTTGTTTTACCAGTGTAAAAAAAAAAAACTATTTTAACGTAGCTTGCAACTTCATTGTAGAATTTTATATATATTTGCTATATATACATACACACCTATATAAGTACATACATCAAAACACACACACAGATATATATATATATATATATATATATATATATATATATATATATATATATATATATATATATATATATATATATATATATATATATAAACCAACTAGGGAAAGTAGAAAAATAATAAAATTATTGATGTTGTAAGATCCAATTGAAATTAAGTAATGAACTAATGCAGGTGAAAATCCATCCTCAGGGCCACAATATATTCACCAATGATGTATCAGAGAGCCTAATAAAAATCGCTAGCATCACTCCTCAGGGATGCATCCTTGCTATCTTTATCATCACCTGTAGCCTACATCATATCAGTTCTAATTGCAATAAAAAGCACCTCACTACAGAAAAGCCAATCACCCATACCCCTTCCAAATTTAGGCAACACCAATAATTTTTAGAAAAAATGGGCACAATAAGACAAACATGCACAAAAAGTATAACCAATTAATTTAACAATAATAAACAGTACTACATAGTGTAAAAAAATTCTTTTTAGTGTAAATACACATTAAATACATATAAAAAGTAAAATAATAGATAAGTATCTTACTATATTCGATAAGTTAATAAAAAATTTATTTTAAGAAGTGGAAAGATAATTATTTTAGCTGATAGACAAGAAACTGAAAACAAAACTGCTATCAAGAAATATAAGATCTTAATTGAAGACACAGGGTAAAGCTCATAAACATTAATAACATAATAATGGTATCATGTAGAGCCTGAAAAACAGTATAAACGTAAATAAATATCATATAGTATATTAAAAAAAAAACATTAAAATAGATGTGTGACTAACGCAGAGATAATGAGGTATTAAAAATAAACAGCTTAATAATATATTCAAACATCAAATGACTAAAATTTATAAAAAATGGTCTATTTGTATCTATATAATATATCTATTTATATATATCTATATTAAAATTTATAAAAAGGTCTAACTTTAAATGTATAGATGTATACATGGGTATGAAAACATCTTAAACAATGCTGTATTGAAATAGGTAGGTGTGAGTATCAATGGAAATATTTCTTCTAAATAGGGGTCATCTCTAAGAATATGCCAATTCTTCAAAACAATGTTATTATCTCTCCTGATATCACAATAAGGAGTAATATACCTAATATGGTAATATATCTACATCTATATTTGTATTGGGTTTATTAATTAGTTGATTTTGACTAAAAAACATAAGTAAATTGAAAATTAACATCTTCCGCTGTGTAACCTCTTAACACAAAGATTTGCGCTAAAGCTAGCAGTTCTTGGAAAAGATTTTACTTTTCTGAAATAATTCTATTGAAAGGTAACGCTTGGCTGTATATAATGCTTTTCTTTAGATGGTATGGATGATAGCACTGCTCTAAAGAGCTAGCGTCTCTTGTGATATCTATGATATGTTCAAAAAATTAATTGAAAAGTCAGATTTATTAAAAATAAATTCAATAGTTGGGTGGATCCCATTCATGAAGTTATATACCTCATGCAATTCTTCCATAAATCCATAAAACAAGAAAAAAAATGTCATCAATGTAACGTTTATAGAAAGAAATCGAATTTAGGAACTGGGTTCGAATTTTATCATCTAATCTACCCATAAAAAAGTTAGCATATGGCAATGCCATTTTTGTACCCATTGATGTACCATCAATTTGTTGATAGAACCTACTAGCAAATATGGAACCTATTAGCAAATGCAGCAATTTTAGAAAGAGTACTTCAACTTCTAATAATCTATAATTACCTCCTCCTGCTTAAATCATTCTCAGATTATCAATTATCATTTTCTCAACATTCAAAGCTCATTCAAAGTACATCACACAACAATAAACACTCTCCATCTTTTCAGATGCAATCCTTCAGATAGCATGAATAAAATCAACCACTCAACAACATTCCTCTAATTGGCTCCACTTGAACAATACCATTAACCCATGCTAAAAATAGAAAACAACACAAAAAGTTAAATATAAACACAAATAAATGAAATGTGACAAATTTTAACAAAAACAAAAAGTTGACTGGTCATCTATCTTCAAGGCCTTAAAATTAGAACAAAGTTACCAGGTCTGGCTCAACAAAAACAATGAATATGTTTCTTAAATTTGTCCCACATATATATAGGAGAAATTTAAGAAAAATTAATAAATAATAAGTAATAAATTTAAGAAAACATTCATTATATTTGTTGATCCAATTGCATTATTCCACACAAAAAAGCCAGGAATGACAAAAGAACTGTTGTCTATAATTTTATATTAAAAATTCAACCTAGGCTTGCAACATCAGCTGAAAATGAAAAACTACATCTCTGGTCCATGAATATAGAGAGGCAAGTAAATTTGTTATATAAATCGAGCCATACTTCATATATAAAGCCATAAATAAAGCCCTTTACAACTGGTCTGGCTAATGATAACCAAAATCAAAAAAGATTAATTTCATACATAAACAGCAAAAAGTCAGATTTGCTGAAAAATAGATTCAGCAAAAGTTTCAGCTTCAGAGTTTTAGATTATGAAAAAATCACATTTTTTAATTAATTTTTAATTAACAAATAAAACTAGTTTCAACAGTTTCATAGCAACAAGACGTCTCTTACAAAACATGACAATCTTATCTCTTTAATTGTCAAACTAACCATCAACAACATTATATTAAACTCTAAGGTAACTTAACAGAAACTTTCATCTCTTTCATCTATATTCAAATTACAGAATAATCTTCCTCATCTCAATAAATAGAAAAAATCAGAAAAACTAAAGATAAAAAGAGTAAAACAAGATTATTGTACATTTGAAATCCTTAGCATTGCTTACAATTGAAATCCTTAGCATTGCTTACAATTGAAATCCTTAGCATTGCTTACAATTGAAATCCTTAGAACTGCTAACAATTGAAATCCTTTGCATTGCTAACAATTGAAATCCTTAGCATTGCTTACAATTGAAATCCTTAGCATTGCTTACAATTGAAATCCTTAGAATTGCTAACAATTGCTCCTCAACTTAAATCCAATCAGGGATTGATCAAATTTTTATTGGACCAAAACTTGGCAAATATAAAGAAATGCAAGGTGCACTTTAACCAAAAACATCCAACTCATATTAATTCCTTTAAGAAAAACTGGGCTCTCATTTTATAATGACCAAAACTATATTGAAACCAACCAACCACAACTATATTGAAAACAACACAAAAAGTGTTTGAGGTCAGCAATATATTGCTGACCTCAAACGCTTTTTAGTTGGCAGTTAGGTAGAAAAAAACCAAAAACTTTTTGGTCGGCAATGCTGACCTTAATACCGAGGGTTGTACCTTTAAGTATAACTTTAAAATTCATACTATAAATGAGCTTAATGTAGAAAGCGAAGCCATTATTGACTTAATGCAACAAAAAATCTTATCAAATATTTGGTAAAGCTCACTTTTACTTGTTGTGATTTATTATTAGTATTTTTTTAAACGTTTGCTTCCAACAAGGCTGCAATCAACCACTAATTAGAGTTGGAAATTACTGGAAGAGAAAAGATGAATATTGCAGAGCAAGATAACAATTGACAGTCAACTTAAAAGATTGCAAATTATATGAATCAGGAAAGCAAGATAAAGGAAACGAATTCCCAATAACTGATGTTCGAGGAAAAAAACTAAAGGAATAAGAGTTTTTGGAAAGCTTATGAACAGAAAAATGATGAAACTTAATTGAATGACGAGTAACACAAGAATGAATTTTAGTAGATATCACAAGAGATGCTAGCTCTTTAGAGCAGTGCCTATCGTAGTTTTTGTAGAAAAGAGAAGCAACATTACAATGATGTTATAATGGTTGGAGGTTGGCTGCAAGAGCAGGTCCATCTATGTTTACAATGCATTTTTGCATCATCTTCTCGGAAAAAAAC